CATTCGGGGGGCCCAGACCCCGTCCCTGCGGACCCCGGGTCCCTAGGCCCTCGGGTGGCCATGCCCCCTCCCCGGTCCATCCTCCTCGCGGGGCGGCCTCTGATCTCTAAGGGGAGGTGCCCTGGGTCTTGGTGTCTCTCTGCGGGTGTCTAGACGCGTCTCCTCGCCCGCATCTCTGCGCCTCTGTCTGGGTCCCGCCGCCCCTTCCCCGAGTCTCGGTCTTCCGGCCGCCGGCATCCCCGCCCGCTGCTCCCTCCCGTCCGTCTCTGAGTCCATCGCTGTGCCTCTGATCCCACGTCTGTCCCTCTCCCGGGTTTGCTGTCTACAGAGCTCTGTCCCTGTGCATGTCTCTGTGTCCCCCCCGGACCCCCAATCTCCCTCCCGGTCCCCCTACTCTCTCTCGGCCGAGTTTGGAGGAGCGGGTAGGGGGGCGCTGCAGAGCTAGCTGTGTTCCTAGCGCAAAATAGACTCCTGTTGCCATGGCGACGCGAGCGCGGCCTCCCGGACGCGAAGCTTCTGGCTGGGGGGTGAGGAGGGGGGGACACCTGGATCCGGAAGGCGGGGGCCAGGGGCGCCAACGCCGGGTCCCAGGGGCTCCCGGAGGAAGGAGCTGGGACTCCTAGGTCCCTGGGGAGAGGGTTGCTGGGTGTTCTGATGCGCGCTCCCAGCCGCCTGCGGGGGGGCGGGGGGCTCTGGTTCCCCAGTGGGGGCGGTCTGACTGTGAGCTCTGATGCCTGGGTTCTTGGGGGACTCAGAGGTTGCCTTCTTAGGTCCCCAAGGTTGGGGGTTGATGGGGAACAAGGACTGCGAATCTCAAGGGGCCTTGAGGTCGAGGGGCCTTGACGGGGGGCGGTATTGGGGGGATCGGTAGAATCCCGACTCCCACATTTCTAAGAGAGCTGCAGAATTCTGGGGGCCCCCATGTGGATCCCCTGCCCGCTGCGTCTTAGGGGCGCAGGGACCACTCAGATAAAGGTGTCCGTCCTTCTTCCCATCCATTCATCCGCATGCCAGCCTCTTCCTTCCTCCCGTCCCCACATCCTTCCTCCTCCCCACGACCCCGTGCCTCAGTTTCCCCCTCCGCACCGGGTGCGGTCGCGCTCACCTCACTTTCCGATGCGGGACCCTTGGGGATTCTGGGGTGGCGGCGGCGTGGGGGGCCGGCCGGGGGAGAGGCGCCCGCTGGCAGCTGAGAAGAGGCACCTCCCCCTCTCCACCTGCTAGGGACCCCTCTCCCCGCCACCCGCAGCCCCCCGTCGCCCCCGGGGTACCCCCCAGACCCAAGAATGGTTCGGTCCACAGCCACATCGGTGTTTATTCCGCGAGCCCAGGTCCCACACAGTCCGTGACACTCCTTCCCCCGCCCCTTCCCAGCCCTTGAAGGGGCCCGGGGCCGAGCCCCGCCCCCAGCTCAGCCCAGCCAACGGCCGTCGGCTGCCAGGAGCTCATTTGCATTTCCGGGAGCTGCCGCCCAATAAGCAAGGCAGCACCCGCCTCCCCTCCCGAGGGGCGGCGCTCCCGGTGGACTGCACCACTCAAGGGACCCGAGGACGGGGGGAAAGCGCTTCCCCCGAGGCCGGTGACAGGCAGGAGGGAGGTCTCCCCTCGGGGCCGAGCGGGGTTCAGCGGAGGAGGGGGTTCTGGCCTTGGAAGAGGCCGAGCAGCCCGCTGTCCGGGGCGGGCTCCTTGATGATCTTCTGGATCTGCAGAGGGAGGAGGGCGTCAGGGAGGACCCGGGGCCCCCATTTGCAGGGCAGACCGGAGGGGCACTGCTCCCTCTGCCCCTTTGCCCTCTTGGCAGCAAATGGCCACGCCAACCGCTCCCTCTTCTCAGGTCTTTTCCCGGGGCCTCGCCCTCACCGCCCACCCGAGTTAGCTCCGATCACCGATCACCCGGCCATTCGCCTGCTTTGCTGGCCTGGGCTGCTAAGAGATGGGCTTGACCCAAGCTGGTGTGGCTCAGTGGGTACAGCACCAGGCGGCGGACAGGAGGGTCCTGGGTTTGAGTCCAGTGAAGGGCACGTACCTCAGTTACAGGCTCTATCCCCAGAGCATGTGCAGGAAGCAACCAATCACCGTGTCTCTCTCGCATCGCTATTTCTCTCTGTCTCTGCCCCTCCCTTACATTCTCTCAAAAAATCAATGGACAAATATCCTTTGCTTGGGATTAACAGAAAGAGTGATGGGCTTTGTCCTGGGGCGCGTCTATACTTTCTTCTTCCTAAATCATCTCAACTCTCCCAAGCCTTGCTCCTCCACTCCAGGCTCATTTATCCACCTGCCTCTTGGATGCTGGCTGCCCCCTGACCTCTCTAACTCTCGGTTCAGCCCTTCCCCTTTGGTAGATACCAGCCTGGGGCTGCTCTCTGGGTGCCTTCTCCCAAAGACCCACTTTGCACCCACCAGTGAGCCCCAATGGCCTGCAGAAAGCAAACAAAAATACGCAGAGCCCGCATCCTCACCGCCTCCACGTTGGTGTCCCTGGGTCCTGACACCGCCCCCCCCCCACTGCGGCTCCCTTGCCGGAGCCCCCGTGGCTGCCCTCACTAAAATCCCAAGGCCTTGAGGTCATGCCTGGCTCCCCCGGCCGCCCCTCCTCCACACTCCCCAGCACTCAGGGCCTGATACAGTCCCTGGAACGAGGCAAGTCCAGTCCCCCCCGCCAGGCCTGTACCCCAGCTGGTCCGTCTGCCAGGAGCACTTTCTGGATGACTGGCTGCCCCTCCGACTGCAGGTCTCCACTTCAAGGCCCCTCACCCCCGACCACCAAGGGCCGCCCTGCTGCTTACTGTCTTGTTTCTCACACTCTCTGCACTTCCCTTCCCACTCCAGGCCACAGTGTGTAATGGGTTACTGACTGGCTTTGCTGTTGCCCCAGGACTCATCCCAGTGGCTGGCACACAGTAAGTGCTCAATAAAGGCTCAGCCAAAGGAAGAGGAGAGGAAAGGGCAGAGCTCAGAGGGCCAGGAATGTCAAATCTGGGCATGTCCTGTGCTCCTGCAGGCCAAGGGTGGGCACAGTGGGAGCCACCTGGTCAGGCCTGTGAGCCGGGGAAGCCACTGGGGGTGGGTGCGGGGCTGGACCTGCGAGCCCGTGACCGGAGGAGGGGAGCAGTGGAGGGTCCCAGGGCCCCACCTCCAGGGCCCCTGCTGGACGGTTCTTTCCTGTGTCTGCCTGGCACCCTCCAGGCCTCAGTCACCTCCTCCCAGGCTTCCTAGACCACCCTGCGGAAGCCCCTCACTGCCTTCTCCCTCCCTCTCCCTCTCCCTCTCTCTCTCCTCCCCTCCTCTCTCTCTCTCTCTCCCCAGTCCTCACTGCCCACCAGCAGCAGCTTCTCTTATTGATTTATGGTGACGGGGTGTCTCCCCACGAGAACTGAGCCCCGCTGGAGGCGGCAGCCTTCTGTGTTCCAGGATGTGTATGTTCCCGGATGTATTCCGAAAAGACGTGGTGGGCGCCGAGGAGACATCTGCCAGGTGCATGGAAGGTGGGGGACTGGGAGCCAGTACCTCCTTGAACTGGGGGTGCGCGGCGTCACCCACCAGCTGCAGAATGAGGCCTTCGCTGGTGGAGAGGAAGGCGCCGCTCTGTCGCATCCGGGCAAGTGCCACCAGGCGGTCCACCTGGCTGCAGGGGAAGAGGGGGTGTCAGCCTTGCGGCCTGACCCCCGGGCCCTGGCAAACGGGGCTCTTCCTGGGAGCCCCGTCCACACCCCACGTGCAACCACCCCTCGTGGGACCCCCTCACCTGCGGGAGGAGCAGGCGTCCACCACCACGTGGACCTGCAGCCCCCGATCCAGGAGGTCCAGGGTTGTGTTCTGGGGGCAGAGAGAAGTCAGGGCCAGCCCCAGCCAGGAACGGGGGTCCCGGGTGGGGGACTGGGATACTGGCATGGGCTGAGGGAACCAGAGCAGGACAGAACCCTCCCCCCCCCCCCCCGTGACAATGGGGTCAGGGGTCAGGAAAGGTGTCAGGCCGGGAGCATGGAGGGTTCAGGGCGGGCACAGGCTGTCCCTTTGAGGATGGGGAGGTTTCAGATGAGAGGGGTTCCCGGGGTCAGCTGGGGGGTCTCACCAGGATGCAGGCCTGCGTCTCGATGCCGCAGAGCAGCACAGAGCGCAGCTGCGGCCGCGCGTCCAGCTCCTGCCGCGCCACGGGCACCATGCTGAAGCAGGTCTTGGACAGGGGCTGCAGGCCCGCCGCCCCCAGCTCGGGCACTGTGGGGCCCAGGCCCTGCGGGTACTGCTCCGTCAGCACAGTTGGCACCTCCAGCAGTCGGGCCACCTGAGGGGGGACAAAGGCCTGACCTGAGGGAGGGGCTGGACCCCCTGGTCTGAGGGAGGAGGGGGTTGGAGCCTGGTCTGAGGGAGGAGGGGGCTGGATCCCCTGGTCTGAGGGAGGAGGGGGCTGGATCCCCTGGTCTGAGGGAGGAGGGACCAGTACCTTGAGCATGCGGGCAGCCACAGAGACGATCTGGGGGAAATAGGCGACATGGCGGAACTTCTCCTGCATGTCACACAGGAAGAGGATGGACGACCCAGGGAGGACCCGGCCCAGGCTGGGCTTTGCAGCCGC